TGAAAACTGGGAAGAGGTACCCGAGGGCTGCTCCCGCTGGGGCTGGGCCATCAAACCTCTCCTCGGGCACACAACTGCATGCTGTGCGAGTGGGTGTAGGGGTCTGCCATGGGCAGACACCCCCTCTGCCTCGAGAGACCCTGGCACAGGTACCAGGAGGAGCTCGGCACAGCTATCCCCTGCTGAGCTGTTGGCTTGGCTGACCTGGGCTGCACCCCATGCTGTTGAGCTGACAACTGGGCTTAGGCCAGCTTGTTCCTGCACTCCTGCCATAGCAGAGGGGTGCCCAAAGAGGCACAGAGCTCAAAGTGACACCTGGATCCCACCTCTCCCCTATTTCCCAACTCAGCTTTTCCGCACTCCATTAGTCACAATTAATCCTTTTTGTACCCACAAAGAGGTGAGCCTCACCTGTAGCAGGGACTTCCACAGCTTAAGCTATATGACACATGAAGAAATATCTCCTTTTGCTTGAGTCTTGCACTTGAATCTTTCATCGGATGCTTGTTTTTTTAAAACAACACACTTACTTGGTCACCTGCTCCACAGATGTCTGCTGCAGACCTCAGCCGTCTCTTTTTCTGGCTGAAGAGTCCTACCGTATTGAGCCAGCCCTTAGATGAGAAGCGTTTAGAAGTACTCTGCTTTGCCTGAATCAAAACCCCAGCTCTGCCAGCCCCAGCTGAGATCACAAGGCAGCCGGAGCACGCAGAGCCCCGGGCGGCTCTGCAGGGAGGCATGGGGAGTCGCGGAGCGGCTCTGCTGCACCTCCCTCTCCCCCCGACACCCGCTGTCTCCCAGCGCTGCCCTCAGCAGCCCTCCCTTTGCACCAGGCAACGGTGCAGGGCGGGCAAAAAGCTCCAGTGCATGCAGTTGTTATAACTTTACAGATGCCAAACATCTAAGGAATTGGTGTAAAACAAACTCGATTGGACAAAACCATCACATTCCTCTAGCCAAGGTGTTCTTGTAAATTAAGGATTTTAGCACATTTAAAGACTAATGATGCAAATACACACTTTGGGAGGGACATCAAGGAAAAAGTCCAAAACTGAGACCCAGCTGTGTGCACAGAGAAGGTTTTATTTTGAAGCCTGCCTACCTAGGAGAAGTTCATTTCCAGACACTGAAGATGCCCAAATGTCTTTTTTTTGAAATGTGATTGCACAACCTTGCGGTTTTCAGTGAATCCTGATCCATCAAGGCAGATCCCTAATGGCATACAGACCCTTATGTCAGAGGTAATCAAGTATTATTACAAGAGCTGCTGGCTGTGGGGCCCCTCCTGTGCATGCACATGGGTACATATGGAAGTTATTAACAAGTTTTAGTGAAGGATTTTGGGAAATTAACCCCTGGGGCCCCAGAGCACTGCTAACAGACAGCTAGTTGGGAGCAGACAAAGAGCACTTTCCTGCTTGGATGCCTGTGGCGAGTTGGGACCAAAATCCAGGCCCTTTGCAGCCTGGTAGAGGAAGCCCCTCTCACAAGGACTAAACTTTTCAACTTCTGCTGTTAGGAAGAACAGTTGAAAAAAACCATCTGTGAGGCTGTATAATTTTCCTCGACAAACTGAAATGAGTCAGCTGGAGAAATGTATAACATAACATATAAAAATGCAAACAATTTTCTTCTATTTCCCAAATGGCACTCAAGAGGTTGTGAGGAAGTATGTAATTTCTTTATAAATCCCTTTAGGAGCCACCAAAGAAACGTTTGGATATGGGCGACCAGGAGCTGCTCCTACATGGCAGAGGGACTGGTTCAGAGGCAGGGTGATTAAAGTGAACACCTCCCACTCATTAATGAAAGCAGCAGTTTCCAGTCACCCTGTGGAATTAAACTCTTACAGTTTTGTTTTGTGCATCTATTTCTCAAGAGCTGAAAGAAAACGGTTTCTCTTCCAACATCCAAGCAGACAGTGAAGGACTCTGTAAAGCCTGCTGCAGCTGATGCGTGGTTCACATTCCTGTTCTTCCCAAATTGCTTTCCTTTCTTGCATCAATCCTGATCTGCAAAGTGACCTCTCCTTGGGAATAATGAGGATACTCACCCATAATGTGCTTTAAACATCCATAATATAACAATGCTTGGCAGTCATTCACTGCTTTTCATCCACAGATCTCAAATCAATTCGATACAGCCCTGCGTGGAATTGACTTACTTGTAAGACGGAGACAAGCACTTGCTGTGCAATTAAGAAAAAAAAAAAAAAAAAAAAGAACAAAATAAAGTGGACTTTATTAAAATCCTAACTATTTCCTCCTCCCTTGGTGTAATTTTCCTAAAGCACAGTCCTGGCTACAAACGGGGCTCTTCAGCAGCCCCCAGCCACACAACCCAAGATGCTCGTTTTCGGCCAAATGAGAACAGTTCACAGCCAGGTCAGAGCAATCCAGTTAGAAAGCTCTTCCCTCAGTGAGCTATAACCATGGCCATAAAACAGAAGCATTCCTGTGCTCAGTTATAAACGTGGAAGAAATTAGCCTGCTCCTTGCCCCCTCCCCGGTTTCTGAAAGGAAGGTGGGAAGGGAGCCAAGGCGCCTTCACAACAACACCCCCAGGTAAGTAAAGGATTGAGGGGACAGGCAGGGTGCCCGAAGTGGCAGACCTGGTCCCACTCCTCCCGTGGCAGGCAGAGAGGGAGGGCAGCTGTGTGGCCCAGCCTGCTGAGGCAGGGGCTTCACCCAAGAGCAAGGGAACGGTCTCAAAACGCAGGTGCCCGGAGCCACGTGAGATGCCTGCAGGAGCTGGCAGGGCAGGTGTAGGAGCTACAGGAGACTTGCGCTCTGCCAGAACCCTGCACAAAGAGCACTGAGGGTGAGCAAGGGGATGGTGCACGAGACCGGGCCAAATCCATGGCAGGCAGCAGCACCCAGAGCACGTGTGTGGCCCCGGGAATGCTCTACGCAGCATGGGAGGTCTTCCCTCCCCCAGCATGCCATACTGCCATCCTGCTCTGGCACCCTGGCAGCACATCCCCTTCTGCAGGGTGTTTTGCAGCCACAGCTCCTGCAGCGGCAGCACCCCCCCCCCGACCCACCACCTCCTCCCCGGCCAGTCCCACCTCCCGGCCGTACAAAACCGCCGGACTGCAGAGCTGTTCAGGGGAAGGGACCCCAGGATGTCCCCTCTAGTCCAACCTGGGGCTCACACCAGGTTGCTCCAGGCTTGACCCAGTCTTGAAAACTTCCAAGTGTGAAGACCACACATCTCCAGGTAACCTATCTCCCATCCGGACTACCCTCACGGGGAAAAAGGGATTCCTCATAGCCAGCTTGGACTTTTCCCCTCCATCTGCTGTGTCTCGTTTGCCCACTGTGCACCTCTGTGGTGAGCCTAGCTCCTTGCTGACATCCTCACAGGTACAGACAGGCTGCTGTTAGGTCCCTCTGAAGCCATCTCCTCCCTGCTCTCAACAAGCAGAGCCCACTCAGCCTCTCCCCATAGAAGTACTCCAGCCTCCTGAGCTTTATGGGATCAACTCTCCCCCCCCCCAACCTCACTCCAATTTATTACATTTTTGTTGCACCGGGGAGCCCAAATCTGGATGCAATATTCTAACTGGGGCCTCAGGAATGGTACAGGGACATAATCACTCCTCTCATCTCCTGGCGGTGCTCCTGTTAATGCAGCCCAGGATGCTGTCAGCCTTTGCTGCCAGGCAGCCTGCAGAAGGATCCAGCTTTGCTTTTTGCCAAGACCCCCGGTCCTTGCATGGGTTACAGCACCTGGACAGGGCTGCTTCAGGAGCTGGAGATGCCAATAAACCTGAGCGACAGAGTGTGTGTTTGAGCAGGGGATACACAGCACTAGTCCCTCAGGGTGGGTTGAGCCCCGGCCCCCTTCACGACACTGCCTGGGGTAACGCAGGGCACCCCAGCCCTCACCCAGGGCATCACTCAGGCATCTGAGGGCTCCAATTCACCACCTCTAATGGACCCAGTGACAAGGACAGATGCAGTCACCTGCCTAACTTTTTGCCCTGGCCCTGCAGGTGATTGCAGCTCCAGTGGCAAGCAACACCATATCCACGTCACCTGCCACGGCGCACGTGCACCCTGTGAGAGTGAACGATCCCAGCTCGCAATTTTGCACGGGGCTGAGAGCCACAGCAGCCGCAAGGCCATCGGGCTGCCCCTGGCCTCCCTGAGAACGAGAGGAGCAGGTGGTAAGAAGATGGACACTTCTCTGGCACTTAGTTAACCACCCTGGTTCATAAGCCAATGCTCTCAGATAGGCTGCCAGGCACCTTGTCCTCAGCAGAGCGACAGAGCCCTCCAGAGAATAATTCAGAGTGTCTAAGTTAGGCTCCTGTGATGAATCATACCCTGTATCTCTCTCTCCGTTGACTGCATGCTTTAGTTCCTCAGATAAGATACCTGAAGCCAAAAGAGCAAATTCAGAGTAATCCCCCACCACGTTTGGCTTTTCTCCCCCATACAGGTCTGAAGGGGAAAGTCAGCGTGAGCTCAGCAGGCTGCCAGGCATGCAAAATGGTTTGGCTCAATTTTTACAGTGTCTGAATTTCTCCTTTCACATAGCCGTTTTCAGTCACTTATTTCAAAGACATCATACCTGCCTGCATCCCTGAAATGAATCATAATCCTATTTAAGCCGACTCTTCCTCTCATTTGCACTCATCCTTACCAGCCTGAGTTCACTGACGCTGTGCCCTGTTCTACGATCTTGAATTACTAATGTTTCTTCCAAACATACAGTACAAATATTAAGGTACTAAAAATACTTCTGAGAATCTCACCCCTACATTTTTAGGAAGTATCTTCAATTTAGAAAATTCTTTACTTGATTACACTATAAAATGAATTAAGTTTATTGTTCCCAGCTAGGACCATTCATTTATGTTCTGCTTTTCATCTTTTTAAGAAAATCGCTTGTTTGGTTTCAGTTTGATGGCCATGTCTTGGCAGTAAACTAACTGGGTTCCCAACACTGCAAGGGAATGAAAGTATCGCCACGTATTAACTGACGTTTAAAAATAAGTATAAAAACATGTTTATTAACATTTTAAGTTTATATAAAAAATTCCTTGCCTTTTTGGAGGCAAAACTAAAACTTTTTCACCTCTGTAGGTGGCAGCAGCACACTATCAGAGGAGCGTAAGAAAGGGCGCTGGACCTTCACCTCTTCACACCCTCCCAGGGCAGGCTGGACTGTCCTGACCAGGGTTATCTCCACAAGAATACCATGCCCTTAGTCTAAAGTAACTCATCTGCACTCCCAAAAATCTGTTCAAATAAAGCAATGCAAAAGCCAGTGAAGCTGCATGTATTGTACATTGCTGCAATGGTTTCCCTCCAGGGCAAACGTTGGCCTCACAGGCATCGCATTTGTGCTGCAAGAAGCAAAACGTGCTCTTGCTCTGCCGCAGCTACGTGGGTATCTGGTCAGCACGGGGGTCATGCCCACCGATGCCCGAGCTGCACTGCTGTGGGACTGGACTCAGCCACACCACTTCACGAGGGTAGATTTGTAGCAGAAACGAGCTTAGGCACTTTGGGGTAGAGGAAAACACAGGGCTGACCTGTGTTTTGCCTGACAGGCAACTCATCTTCTTCTCAAGCTTATAAGTTATAAATGGAGCCAAGAGCGGGACTTCGTGGGAGGGGAAATCTCTGCTCTTCAGGTCTGGCTTTACCCCAGGCGTCTCTGGGGAAGGCCACACACACTGTGCACGTATGAGGACGCAGCTGTCACAGTCAGCAGGTTCAAGCCCTGCTCCCCCGGCCCTCCTCTTCCTCTCGCAGCAGCAGTCCAGCCCCAGCAGCGCAGCGTGCGTCCCACCAACACAGCCACGTAGCACGCACCTCCCTTCGTCTCTCACGCACATGGCATCATCTCCCAGCCCAGGACGGAGAGGAGCTGGGGACGACTCTCCCCGCTGACCCCCCGCTTCTGCCTGGGGGTGAGAACACCTCCTCCCTCGGGCGCATCCCCAAGGAGCCCCCCGGCTCTGCTCCACCCTCCGTCACGGCACCAGCGGGCAGGCTCCGGCAGCACAGTTCTCGCAGCGTAGGCACTGCTCGGCGGCTCCGGCACAGGGGCTCGGAGAAGACCAGAGGGGTTCCCCCCATCTCGTCAAAGTGCAAGGGGTTGTTCCGGGTCCCTGCCACCACCAGCTCCAGCAGCCGGACCACGCAGTCTGAAAACCAGTTCTTCAGGCGGAAATAGCCCTCCTGGAAAGAGATCCGAAGGCTGACGGGCCCCGTCGGCATCCGCACGCTCAGGCTGAACAAGCAGTTCCCCTGCGAGCTGTCCCGCACCAAGTAGGTGCCAACAGGCTCCCTCTGGAGCTTGGCGTGAGCCTCCCCCACAGACAAGGGGCCCCAGTAGAAGTCGCTGGCCTGGAGGATATTGAGGGATCGCTCCAGGACCTCCCACTCGCAGCTGCGAAACATCCGGAATCGATCGGGCAAACCGGGCGGCGCGGGGCTGGGGAGAACGCTCCGATGCTGCCTTTGCAGACGAGAAACAGCGGTGTGCGTGTTGTGCAGATCATCTGGCCGCCCTCTGATCATCTCTCAAAGAGCCCATGGATCCTGGAAAGATGCTGCCTTTACCATGCTTCCTCCTTCGCATCCAGCCTGCAGGACAAAAGGTGAGTGAGGCAAACCCAATACCTTCTGAAAACCAGGCAAATGAAGTCACTTCACAAGGGAGAAGGACCAGTAAGAGCACTAAAGAGGGTACCAAGGAGATATTGTATGTCACTAAGCCCCAGCTGTAGGGACAACCAAGGATTTACACGCTGGGAGCTCCAGCTGGGTCCCCACCAGCGCAAGGTAGCACCTTACAGAGCTCTGCATCCACTGGGCTTCTGTGATTCACAGCTAAGGGGGCTCTGCAGCACACCCTTCATCAGCCTGGTTTGAACCTAGCAGGTCTTGGTATTTCAAGATCTCCCTCTGTTGGATGCTTAGGGGCTTTTCAGAGTGTCCTTGAGACTAGCAAGGGGAAATGACATCCCAAATCAGAAGGGAAAAATTTCTCAAAGCAGGAAAGTTTCGTTTACTTTGTCATTCAGTGAAGGGTGAAAAGGTTTCCTCACGCCTCCCCGACCCTTTCTCTGACAAAAGGACAGACAACAGGACTTAAAAGAAGCAGAAGATGGGAATGAGCCTTTCCCACCAAACCCCATGAACCACTCCCCCATCCCAGGGGACGCCTGTTTCACCGTGTCAGGAGAAAGCAAAGGTCTTGGATCAAGCCCCTTCAAAAAACGTTACACCAACAACTTCAGGGCTGGGACTGCCGCATATGAAAACACTTAATGCTGGTACCAGGCACTGCTGATGTCTGAAAAACAGTTCTACTCAGGCCCTTCCATCCAGCCCCTTAACTTCTGTGTCTGCCTTAAGGACATCACCCCCCACCAGCAGACAACGCTGCCCTCTCCCAGTCACCACCCTCTGCTCATGTGCTGCCTTCAAAATGCCCTCCCTTACTGTCACAATCCTGCTCATCTCCCACACCTCGTGTTATCACCAGGCTGTCTCTTTTCAGAAATGCAAATTCCCGAACCGTGTTGCCATCAGCCATCCAAGTCATTTTGATTACATAAAAAAAAAAGTACGTATTCTGCATGTGTGTGTGTATATATATATATGTGTGCATAAACATAAAAACCACAGCCCCAAGCCAGAGGCTCCTTCTATGTGAGAAGCTGAGCTGTTACATACCACTTCCCCAGGCCTGACAAGTCAGTAGCTCACCGCCAAACCCTGCCCTCAGTCCCTTGACATACTCCATTAACCCAGTCACACTCGCTGACAGCGCAGCCGTGCTCGGAGCAGAACAGACTGCTGACACACAGCCTGCAGCAGAGGAAGAGACGCGTTTCTCCATCCCTGGCAGTCCCCCTCCACCGCAGACTTGCGGGAGCATCAGGGCTCGCAGCAGGCAGGCAGCCCCCCCGGGAATGTGCAGGGACCTATGGAGGGCTTGCTCTGGAAGGAGAGCTTTAGGTTAGGCTTAGCTCCTTGCGAAGTTCTCCTTATCCTATTCAAAAGCCTTGTGCTCCTTTTGGTGCTCATGCCAGCTGGATGGCCATGCAGAGCCCACTCTGCCCCTCCAGGAGAGGACACGGAACAGCAGGGCCAAACGTTTTTCCCTTGCATGGGCACAGTAGTCTACAGTCTTGTCCACAGTCACCTCTTCTCTCCTAACTTCTCTCTCAATACTTAACAGTAATACCAATAATGTAGCTGTCAGGCATGTCTCCATACATGGAGCCATAAACACCCTTTCCAAGAGCAGCCTGGGAAGCTTCTCCAGTTTCTAGCCTTGTGATTTGCTAAATTGTGATTTGCTAAGCCACTAATGTCCTTGATACCACTCTGAATGCTGCTGATCCTGCCCTTTAGCTATGTGTCACCGTGGGAGGGAAATTCTACTCTTAAGAGAAAGGTGGGAGGGGTAGGAAGGAGTTAATCAAGCCGGGGTTTTTCTTTTCCATCTTAAAAAAAAAAAAAAAAACAAAAACCCAAACAACTAGGCAGCAGTGGAAAGCTGCTGGGATGGTTCAGCAAATCAGAATAAATCTTAGGGGAAGCTGATTTAGGGAGCAGAATGCAAGTAAACACAGTTGCCACATGCAGCAGCTAGGGCCATCTATCACCACCTAAAACGCAGCACTGTAGGCACCACAAGAAGTTGCAGCATCGCTGTCCCTTTCCTTCTCTCTGCTGGGCAAGGAAGCTATAGAGCCCTCTGACATTAGCTACTATAGAAAAAGAAGGTCATACTCCTGCCAGATGCTTCCAGGGCTGCAGCTATATCCTCAAGGGGAGCGAGAAGGAGCCTTGCTCCCACCAGCAGCCACTTTTCCCAAACAGCAACTTCTCTAGGGTCCAAATGGAAATTTTGCCACTCTCATGGGTCTAGGTTGGAAAATTAATTCAAGCAGGAAAACAGAAGCAGGCAGCTGTCTTTCATTTCCAGGCTAGTTTTAAAAATAACAAACAAATAGATAATTTGTTTAAGGCTACAGATGCCATTTGACAGAAAAAAAAATAAACTTGTTTGTCCCAGTTTTCAACCTTGAGTCATTCTCCCAAATCCTCTCAGAAAAATCCATTGCTACTAGAAGTCTGACTAAGAGCTGAGACTGTGTCATCGTTTCGAATTCAAAGTAAATGCAAAAATAGCACCCTCACAATTTGTTCACTTGGTTTGAAATCTACATATGGGTCAGAGTCTCAGAGAACGTAAATCTGTTTACCTTCTGTGACCCATTTCCAACAAATGACTGCCTGACCTGCAGTGCAGTATTAGTTATATCAATATTAGCTTTAAAAGTACTTCCTGATATTACCTTTAAGGTTCACTTTTAATGGATCAACAGGTCCTACATGCACACGGCCTCCCTCGTCAAGGAGGATGAGCAGACTCTCAGGATTAGGAATAAGACAGCCCAAGGCTGTCATGAAATACACATCCATAATTAGTTCTGCTTCTGATTTGCCACAGCACGATTTGCTTCCCTTCCTACCCCCCCAAAAAAAAACCCCAAAACTCCAACACCCAAATACATTACTACCTCCCTACTGCAAGACAGTCAGAACAGTGCTTGCAGCCAAAGCAGCATACCCTAATAAGCTCGTGTCCCACTAATTAAAAAGCTGGATAAGTTTCCCCAGACCTTCTGATTTACTGCAAGTTCAAGAGCTTTTCAAAATAAGTGCTCTTGACACAGGGCATTCTGCTTTCCTTCTCGCTCACTACTCAGGCAAAGCAGCGTATTTCTTATAAGGAGACAATTCTAGTAAACTAGGGGACTGTATGCAGCCTCTGGTGTCAGCCCAGCCAGCCCTGCACCCTGGGGTTTGACAAATCTGGCACGTTCAACAGCAGCTTCAAGTACTCAGCTATGGTGCGTCCTTGCACTCTTTCTTCTCCAAGACACTTGAAAGAGCTTACCTCTTTATATTTACCACCCATAGGGACGAGTTTCTGGATGTTAGGCCTGGAAGCAGTCCAAATTCAAGAGCTCCAATGTGGCACTTCCCAGTTTTTGCAAAGCTTTACTTAAGAGCAGATCCATCCTTTGAAAAAAAAGAGACATCCATCACACAGGTGACTAAGCCCATTAGTTCACCATAACGTGGATCTAAAATACAACAAATCTGGGGACAGGTTGTCTGTCTCAACCTCTCTGACCTGTATTATTATAGAAGCACGTATACAGCACTTCAGATAGCAACAGAGACAGCAGATTGTTGTTGTTGTTATTATTATTATTATTATTATTATTATTATTATTATTACTGCTACTTACACAGCCATGAGCTGATTAGATCCAGACAACTCACAGATGGCCTAAGAACAAATGTAAAGACCATAAGGTTGCCATCATCTTCTGGAAGTGGGAGCCACAAAACCCAAACATTAAGAGATGATGGCAACAGGAATAAGCTTAAAGAATCAGAATAGCAAACTCAAACTTGTGCTCAATGCAACACACAACATTTGGAGTATCTTATCTGAAACCACACAGGTAGCCATTCACTGCTGAGTTACCCCAATAGACACCCAGCCTGTTCTGGCCCGTGCTCTTCTGCCCTGCTTCCCCAGCTTCCAAAGCTTTTCCTTCCCACCTCATGGATGGAAAACTAAACCCGCTGGCCTGGTGGAGCAGCAGACCACCACGTGTGCAATCGCGTGTCTGTCAGTGGATCTATCAGCAAGCTGAAAAAACAAACCCTGCCTTCTGCATGCCTTCCAGAGGCAGTCCCTGTAAGGCTTCACTTACACCTGCACTCCATTACTTAACATCCCTTCTCTGCATCCCCGCCAGCGGAGCCCAGACCGGGCACACACCTCACAAGCCACCCTGACTTGCAGCTAGCAGAACTGTGGGCCTATCCCATTATTATGCTACTCACTCCATTCGGCTTTGACATCTCACAGTTATCAGTCCCACAGTTCCCAGAACAGTTAGATGTAGGGTGGGATAATTTGGATAAGCTCTCCCTGAGGTACCCTGCAAGCCCTTGCAGCGGCGTCCCCATTCCATGCACCAGAGCCCGAGCAGACATCTCTTGCTTGGACATCTGCATCCCACAGAAACGCGCTGCCTACTGATTTGTGGCCGGAGAGGACGTTTCAAAGGAAAGCTGGAGCAAACGGCTGGAAGAAACCTCGCTGGTAAGAGCCAAGCAGGCAGTGCTGTGTTTTAATGGTGGGCCAGCCTGCTTCCCACAGCTGCCACTGTCTGCCACACGCTGGCACCAGTTTAAACCACGCCATCACTGCCACGGTGCACGGCCTCACCAGTGCCCCTTGTTGCGAGCACCCTACCACGGTCAAGGTGACCAGGGCTGATCCAGAAACGGCTCGTGGAGGGGGAAAGGAGAGGCAGGAGACGCGCAGGCAGACGTGCGCCAAAGAGCACAGAGGGAGCTGTGGTTAGGCAAGGAATGTGGCTCAGCTCAGCTGAGAGGACCAATGTTAATCACAGCCAATTTCTCCAGCACAAAGCAGGCCTAGGAGACGCTGCAGTTCCCTCTATCTTTTATGCCATGGCTATAAATAGAGTTTGATGTGAGGCTGCCATTATGTCTGACACGTGAGGGAGTTATGTGGAAAAAAGAAAAAAAACCCACACCACATGCATACCCCAAACCAAAACTGTGTTTCCCTATACAACCAGCATTCAAGGATGCAGTATTTAATAAAATAAAATAAAGTGAGGCAGCACACACACTGTGACAATTCTTGCTTCCATGCAATAGAGATGCTGGGCAGGAGGATCCTGCACGTAGGCTCCGGGAACCAGCTGCAAATAAAACCATCCTGCAAGAGGACTGGTCTTATCAAACCCTTCCCAACATTCTGGGGTTGGAGAACATACTTCAAAACTCACAAATAACCTCCTGCGGATCTGATATTTAGGTTTTGTGCTTATCATATTTTTCTATGACATGTGTTTTCTGCATTAACATGACACTTTGCTGATAGAGGCTAGAAGGTTTTTACCCCAAGAAAACCCACAAGACAGCGTGATGTGCACCAAGTATTCTTCAAGGCAGAGAAGTCTGCAAGCATATTTGTTTTCTCCAGAACATGCTTCAAAGAAAAAGGAAGGTGGCAGTTTACAGGGAAAGCTAATTGTTTTTGCTGGACTAACCAACAGCTGGAAGAAAGACCCCATTTTCAGGGTCCCTTCCTCACACCTTGCAAATACTATGCACATTCAGAACAACTACTTCCAAATACAACGGCCCGTTCCTCCTAGAAATAGCCCAGTGTGAAAATGTAATGTTGCCATTTCAGAGTAACAGAGAAGCCCCATTGCTTCCCTGAACTCAAAGGCTGCTGTGCAGTAGCCACACGCAACTGCATCTCGTTCCGCAGCAAGTAAAACTACCAGAACTACCAACTGAGTTCTGGCAAAGACAGCTTCTATTGGACACTGATTTTTTTTTTTTTTCCCCCCTTTAACTGGGGAAGAGGGAATTAAAAATAAAACATGTAGAAAAAGGAAATCAATAGGGGTTACTGCTAAGTTTCAAAGCTGCAGCTGAGCCTGTCCTGCCATGGCTCAAGGAAAGAGTTGTTGCTTACCTCTGGCCAACACAACAGCATTTTTGGTAAGCGAGGGAAGTCCGATCGCGTGGCTCCTGACCTTTGTAGTTTCATAGTGAGCAGCCATCCCTGCAAATGTCAGTGCAGCAGAGCTACACGAAGCCTCGGCCCCATACCCAGCTGGGGAACACAGCCTCCACACAGCTGCCTTGCCATCCCCCCCTCCCCACCGCCCGCCGGCTGGGGACGCAGCCCTCTAGGAAGGTGGCCAGGGAGAGGGCACGATGAGGTGGAAGAAAGAGGCCAAGACAACACCAGTCCCTCGTGGGGCCCTACTGGAAACACTCCATCCCATCTCCCCAGCAAGAGAGGGGGGTCAGTGGGAAGGGGGTAGCAATGCTCAGGGCTGCATCCTTGCCCTCCACTGGAGCAGAGCTCTGCACCCACCAGTCACGGCAACTCAGCCTCGACAGCTCCCCCATCCCCAGACCAGCAGCACAGGTACGTATCCTCCGTTTCAGCCTCTCTCAGCTAAATTTACTTTCTTCAGTTTTTTCAGCGCCCCGTTTGAGGAAATGAGTAAATCCTGAGAGGCGAAGGCCACCAGCCGTCCCCGCGATGGCCGTGGCCTCTTATCAAAGCCATCGCATTTAGTGGGAAAGGAATTCAAAGAAGCAGCTAACTCTAAGAAATGAGCAGTATCTGCAGCTAAAACTGGTTTAGTATCATGATCAGAACTAGGATTTTAGAGAAGAGTCGCAGGCACTTAACCAGCACGAGCCAGAGCACAGAGGCACAGGGGAGAGATCTTCCCTTGGCTCTTCGTAAGGACCAGCTTCAGAAGATGTGAGGGGCCATTAAGCAGTACCAGTTCCTGTGCCTTCAGAGGAAGGGGCGAGGGTCAGAAAGCACAAATGCACCACAACACTAAGTTTTATAATGGGGGATTTCCAACACACAAAATAAAGAAACTAGTCCTGAGAGTCAAAAGTGAAAAGAAAAAGAAAATTAAGTCATGACAGGCTATTTAGGAAATCTTAAAGTGACAGAGCATGCAGACCTCCCACAAATGATGGAACAGAGATGCTGCCTGGCCAAGAGGACAGACTTGGGGGACAACATGGGTCACACACCACAGGTACTAGTTGTAGGTGCAACAGCTTGGAAGGGCCTCTGCCATGATGCAGAGTCACCAAACACACATACTCCAAAACCACAGCCCCTGCCCAAATTTCTCTACAAACTCAACAATCCTTCAGAAGATGAAAAGCAAACCCTGGTGACACCAGTATAAAGAACTATAAATTACTGATGGTAGGGAACAAATGTACATGAGGATGGTTGTCATGAAACTGAGACAGCAGGTAGCCAAGATAAGCAAAACAAAACACATAAAACAACCAGCATTTTAATTTTATCAAAACCAGAAAGCCTCTGGGGGAATCACTTAGTTGACTGGGATATCAGCAAGTAGGGAGGAGGACACTGAAGAAAAGCTGCATAAGCGAGCAGATACTACTACTTTTTCTTGCACAGGATGCTGAGGAGATTCCCAGTATTTAATGGTACTTAACCTGAAGGGAGCAAAGCGGGAGTTCTGTCAGAAGAGGTGGGGAGAAGTGACATTAAAGACCAGAAAGTCAGCTGGACACAGTGGACTATACCCAGGGATTCTGAAATAATTTGGAAAAAGCTGGTTAAGATGCAAAGAGATGTGCTCTCTCAGTCAAATCAGCTGCCACTACTAATTGCCAGAGGTCTGCAAGTGTTGTAAGGAACACTGGCTACCTGACTGTGGGGAAGAGGCAATCCCCAGACAGAGCTCCCATCAGGAAAATGGTATCTGAAGAAGCAACGTGGCTGGGACATGCCTTGCGCTTCTTCAAAGCCTCCATGCCAGAAGCAAGTCTTAAAGTGAGACATGGTGCACGAGATAAAGAGCCAGCAGCACCCCAGGACCTGTAAAGCAGATGGACAGAAGACAAGGAGCAGTCGTGCCCCACGGTGATGGGAGGTGGAAAAAGGGTGTCCTGAGAATACCAAGGCATTTCAACCCCTTGCACTTCCAATCACCTCTCTGCCACCCTTCCAGCTGCTGCCTTTTCCTCCTGGATCAACTCAGCCCATTTTGCAGAGCATCCCTCCCAGCTGCTTGACAGGTCAGTGGGTACAAGGAGCCCAAAGCCTCCCTCAGCTCAGGTGTGAGCAGCTCCCTTGCCCCCGACCGTGCAAACCCCACATGTTAATCCAGGTCCCTTTCTAGAAATATTCTCCTGTGGTCTGCAAGCTGCCATTGCCCACGACACTTCAAACATTGGAGGTTTAACCCTGCCCTTCCACCAGGCAGCTTCAAGCCTCAAGGTACTAAAATCTAGGCAACCAGCTGGAAGAGCGGCGAGCCCCCTCCATCACTTCCCCAGAGCGACCAGTGACAAAATCATTTCGCTCTCAACAAGCCACAGAAGTCAGAGGTCATTCAAAATTCAGCAAGCTGGCAAGCACCAGGAGGTCAGACGAG